ATTTAAACGCACAAATTCGTCCGAGCGGCAACGCAGGCACATATGTATAACCAGTGAACAGCATTGATTACCCTCAATGAGGGGATTGACTGCCCACCCATGCATGAATTCATACCCTACCCAGAAATACTCATCAACAACCCAAAAACCATACATCGCCATGAGTAGAAGGGGCAATCTGAGCAGGCCTCACTAAAAGCTAAAACCTAAAGGCCACGTGGCGGAACCCAAACGAGTCACACACAAAGAAATCCATAGCGCCGCTTCCCTCGGCACTTCCTGTCCTCGMCACCTGACAAGAAACCGGACATCACGTTTGCAGGCCCTAATGACTCATGCAGTGTTGGCCCGCGGCTAGAGCTGCCCTATTACCATGTGGCAACTAATCAGATGTGGTAAGACAATCCAATATCTATCCCACCCCTTCGCGCACCCATCCCACCCCTAGCTCTCCCCCACACCCGACCAATATGCTGAGCGAGCCGTTCAAACAGCCCTGTCGCCCTCCCCCCGGGTTATCAACACGATCACAAAGGAGAAAGGACACCGGGGGAGAGAAGGGGGAGGGGGAGAGAGCTGAAACCCCCACCATACTTACCACACCGTCGTTGTTGGTATTATTGATGTCGTTTTTGTTGCTGCTGTTGTTGTAGTTTTTGTTGTTGTAGTCCGGCGTGCACGAACTCACAATTTCCATACTTGTTCCAGTGTCATGCACAACAATCATGGTGTTGCCAGCGTCCACAATCTCTGCGTCGTGGTTGCTGTAGGTGTTGTTGCTGCTGATGTTGTTGTTGTTATTGTTGTTGTTGTTGTTGTTGTTGTTGTTGTCATTATTGTCGCACGCGCCCAAGCTCATGATCCCCATGTTTGTACCACGGACCTGCACAAATTTATTGTTGTCGTTGGCGTGTTTGTCAATAGTGAGGACGTCATCACCCTGAGCTTGGCCCTCCCCGATCTCGTCACAGCTGATGATGCTCGCATCAGTATTATCTTCATCTTCCGTCTCAAAGTGCAAGTACCACTCCTCCAGCGCTGCGTACACATCTTGCCCCTCCTCGAAGATGTCGTAGCAACACCGCTTCAGAGTCTCCTCCTGTTGACCATTCATGAGACCATCCTCCTCCAACTCCCAGATGATCTGCATCATGTTCCTCGTCACTTCCCGAAATGGCGGGTTCGATGAAGCTGCCCCCCCATCAGCCTCAAATCGAGCTCCCAATTGTGAGCGCAGTGCATCTACCATCACCTGTAAACGGCAACGAGCTGCTCGAATGGGTGCGATCCACTCGCCGGCTCCTCGCTGCTTGTCTCCCATTGAATCCATCTGCACGTAAGAACCGCCACGAAATCCGCGCCGACGAACTCCCACGCTCCCCTGCCAATCCCACTTCTAACGGGGCTGCCACGTCAGCGTCACCGCGAACGTGGGGCAAGACGCGTGGCTCAAGCTACCCCCGTCAGCCCACGGGGGCGCCCAATCGCGTGGAGGGCAGCCGGGCCCTGCCGGCTGCGACCACGCGGAGTGTTAGCGCTCCCTAACGCTAATTTTAGCGGTCTACGATTTCTCGATGGGCCAGGCTCCGATCTTGTCATGTTCTCAGTTATTTGTCCGTTACAAGTCCGTTTTGTCTGGTCTGGATATGCCGTTTCAGCATTTCAGCTCATTGTCTGATTCAGGTTTTTCAGTCTGGATGAATGGATTCAGCATTCCTTGGGTGATTTAGGCCCAGCAACCATCATACAAGCGTGGCACGTTTTCTTTCTGGCTGGACCTTGTTTTGGTCCCACCCACGTTTTTGTCCGCATCTGCAGCTGGCTCAACAGAGAGAGGGGGCAACCGCTATTGCAGCGCACCTCCATCTTCTCCCCCC